ATTCATTTCAGTCAAAAATCCACAAATATGAGAAAAGAGCATCAAGTTGTCTCATTTGAGAAGCAGAGATTTGAGAACATCAAGTTCTTCTTTATGAACATGGGTTTAAATAACTATTTGATTATCTGAACAGCTTGTGCTTTTAATAAAGACTCATCTGTGATTTTACACTGAAACTGCAGAAGAGAACCCACACAGCTCAGACACATGATGAGTAAAACACATCCAGGGCTTGTAGCGAATAAAAAAGCATCAATATGTGGTTTATTTTGGCAGCTGTGCTCCTCTAAGAATATCTTTTTAATTATTTAGATAATTTGATTTATTCTCTTTACCTTCATATGCCGGATCTGTCACTGCGAGCATGAGTTCTGCTTTTGTTATTTTTTGTTTTGTTTTTTATTATTATTTATTTTATTATTTTATTTAATTTTTTTTGTGCTGGCCTGCCTCTCAGCTGGTGCATCATAAACAGCTGTTATCTGGGCCAGCAGCGGCGGCGGCGTTTTGGATGTAAACTGTGAAAAACAGCCGTCATGTGGAGGAGCACCGTCTCACAGAGAGGCCTCAGAAAGAGAGAGAGAGGGAGCTCATCGAGGTTCAGGGTCCCCTCGTGCAAAAAAAAAAAAAAAAAACACTGACTCAGCACGCTCACTGACAGACACCACCCAAATTTATGTCTGAGCTGTTGCTGTAGCAACCGGCCTCAGACTGCTGCGTTTTTGAAAGCTCGCCTCGCTCTCATCCAGCCACGCTTGAAGGGTCAGGTGTTCGTTTTGTCGTCGTGCAAATCTTGTCTGAAAAAGTGTACGAATCCAGGCAGGATCTGACGGAGCAGTCAGTAGCTAATGGCTTTTCTTTTTTCTGAATTTGTGCTTTCTTGTGTGTAATGAGGTGAAAACATTAAATTACTCAGACTGTGCCTCCAAATTTGGCTGTTTCCTTCTTCTGCTTTACAGGAAAAAAGGAAAATGTCCACATCAGCAGCGATAAAAAGGTCTATATTTCCAGCCACTTGTGAGTCGGTCTTATCTTTGATTAATAAACGCCAAAAACATTCGGTCAGATTGAATGTTTGCTTTCCTCTGAGTGTGATTAACTGATTTCTGAGGCTGGTAAAAGGCCTCTCTGACACACTTAATGGAAAGTGGGGCTGTATTTGATTAAAACAGACAGTCTGTCGATAATCAGAGCCGTGGCCATTAACCAGTTATTAGAAGTGAGATCAATGAGTGGGACTGGTCAGCTGCTCTGGCTGTGTGCGGTCGTCTGTGTGTGAAAGTGTGTCTCTGTCAGGGTTGCCATGTAGGACATGACAAATTATCATACTGTGGCTTTAAGATGATTGTATTTTGACCCAAACTGTTGTATGTGCTTTATCGCTTAGTGGAAGTGTGTTTGTGTAGATACTGTACGGAGTTTTAATTAAGGGCTAGATCAGATTGTGTGAATTTGATGAAAGGTGCTCTTTGTACGGAGTTTTTTAAACTTCGTGTTGCTTACAGTATCACAATATATCGCAGTATCACATATACCTGTGTCGTGATATGTATCGTATCACCAAATTCTTAATACACTTGTGTGTGTGTGTGTGTGTGCGTGCGTGTGTGTGTGTGCACGTTCTTGGTCTTTTTGATTGGTGTTCTGGCAGACTTTTTAATGATATGTGAGTGTTTCCATATGTGTTCTTTTTTTGACACATGAAAATACCAAAAGTATCCTACTGTATATTTGGGCATTTTAAAACACTATTGCATTTATTTATTTTTATTATAGACCCTAAAACTATCATGTAAATTAGTGATGTGTGGATTGATCATGAATTATTGATACCATTTAAAATAAACCTTTTATTTTAGATTTTCCTGACTGATTAGATGTCAGTATTGGGTCAGTATACCAGCTCGAGTTTTACTTGGTATCAGAAASTTTTGAACAGCACTAATGTAAATATAATCCTTCTCTTGTATCTGTACACTGGTTTTTATACACATCAGGTTGGACAGATTGTCTGTAAATTACACAGATTTTCCCTCATTTTGCAGGGATACAGTCATATAGGACAATCCTACCAATTTTTTTTTCCAAGTCGCACAGGTTTTTTTTTTTTTTCAAAATCTCTGCTTCAGTTTTATTTTACATCTCAGAGCCTGTAGTAATAAAAAAAAACAATAAATAAAACTAAATCATCTCCCACCCTGCTCTGTCGTTAAAAATAAGTTCCCCACTTTTCCCATCCGCTTTTCCCTGTTTTTCTGCAGACGTTACCTTCATTCCATGTYCAGTCTTTCTCCACGGCCGACAGTCTGCCTGTGACCACCCCACTCCCCCATGAGTACTACGAACTTTTTGTGAAAATGACAGATTTTTGAGGGTCGTGTTACTGAAGGGTTTGACATGTATTGGTCCGTATACTTGTTCCTGCTGACTCAAGGCTGTGATAAAGATTACACAGACATGTCCCAACATGCCCCAGCTCAACACATCAAAACACACACAGTCTGCCTGCCCTGATGTGAGGAAGACAATGGTCAGCTCGTTCAGAGGAGGTCAAAAGGACATCCAGCTGAACACTAAACATTGTCAGTTATCGGCCACGTCTACACATGTTTGCTTTGGTTCAGTTCTGTGAGAGCGAGCTTGTCGTTTTATTTTATTAGTKATGAATGAGGAGGGAGCTGTATGTATTCGACGACCTGCTCGTTTTGTACTGTATGTTTGTGCGTCTGTCCCAGGCCTGTCTGTGGCCCAGCCTGTCTGGGTGCCAGAGATTACTCATTGGCAGATTAATGGATTGAGTTGACCCAGAAGCCGACTGCATGCAGCCCTTTGTGGCTGAACCGGCCCTCGGCTCAAACTCTGCATCGATGTAAAGACTTTTCTGCTATGAGACAAAAAGCCCCGCATGGACGGCTGAACTCCTCGCCTACAAGAGAAAATGTAATAAATCTCACCATGAGAAGAATCAAACCTTAGAAATRATTTAATAGCACTCAGAGTGTGTTTGGACTGACTCTCAGCTACTACCACTCCACATTTTATATATAAATCTAAGTCATGACCATTTATTTTTGTTAGCAAAGGACAATTATTTCTAGTGGCCATCTTGATTTCTCCACTCAGGAGCTGCAGCCCACATAGGGTGCATTTTTCAGATGTGGCCCACAAAACTCCAGAAACGTAGTTTGTTTCTGATCAACGATATCCCCGGATTCATCGTGCCGTCAGCAAACTAAACAGAAATTCATCACAGACCGAAGAATTTGTTTTCTAAATGTATGTTTATCACCGTAGCTGACGTAATTGCATTTTATTTAACATCTCATTGCAGCAAAGCATTTTAAGTGTTTGAGATATTTTGCTAACAATTATTGCCAAAGTTTGGTGCAAACATTGTGCATCACGTCTAAAGTGATAATGTGTTGGGGTAATGTTCARCTACTAGTATGCCATATTTTAGCTACATATCTGTCAAACTGACTGTGCTGTAGCTTTTTTGTGTTTGCCAAGTTGGCTCAGCTGTGGCGGCCATCTTTAATGTGGTTAACTAAAAATTAATCCGTAGTAAACGTGCATCCAATGATTACTTTCTGAGAGTTTTCTTTAAAAACTGATGTCCTGGTTTATGAGATACTTTTCAAACACGACAAAAAAAACAAAAAAAAAACAAAGTTGAAATCATTTTGCTCTTTCCCCTCTGGCAGCAGTTGATAAAGAATATTAAACTTTAAATTTTGCTGGTGTCGTGGCTCTTTGGTGATCATTTATCCAAGTTAAAGTCAAAGCTCATTTCTTTTCTCTCTGCAGAATATTCTCATATCTAGATGTGGTGACACTCTGCAGGTGTGCCCAGGTATCCAAGGTAAGAACTACTCATGTACTCACATTAACTTTTACTTTTTAAAAATGCTTTCCAAATTCTTTACACCAAGCTCTGAGAAGTTTTTTGTGTTTGTTTGTTTTTTAGAAATAGTTATAATAAAGTGCCCTCTGGTGGTGACATGTARTTTTTCTCACATTTCTACTGAAAATATACTGTATGTGTACCTAAAATCCTCCTAAAATACTTTTTGACCTAAATAATGAAAAGTTGTCTTTTTTTTAGATGCAATGGACTTCATGAGAAAAGCTCAGATGTATTGCAAACATAACTATTTATTTTTTAAATAATATTGTGGGGCTCTTTTAGACGTAAAACTGAGAATTTCAAATGTTTTTCTGCATGTCTCAGCTGTGATCAGTCCTCTTCTCTGTGTCCTCCCAGGCGTGGAACGTCCTGGCTCTAGATGGCAGCAACTGGCAGAAGATCGACCTGTTCAACTTCCAGACGGACATAGAGGTGAGCAGTGATGACTCGGTGCTGCTCGTTCTGTAGTGTTACCCAGCCTGAAGCTCAGTCAGGAGGCCGTGGCGTCGAATGTGACGTCTCAGCTGATCGTCCCGTCACTCAGGTCTTCTCTCTCTCTCTCAGGGCCGGGTGGTGGAGAACATCTCAAAGCGATGTGGAGGCTTCCTGAGGCAGCTCAGCCTCAGAGGCTGCCTGAGTGTCGGAGACGCCTCCATGAAGTGAGATTCTCATCATCTCTCTGAAGCACAGGATAAAGATTTATTCACTTTCACCTAAACTCTTGCCTTTTTTTTGTCTCTGTGCGATTATGTTTAAAGTTTAAGCAGCTTGTGTGTCTTCATTCTTAGGGGATTTGGCTTGGATTTCCTTTTTAATTACATTTAATCTCAATTTACTTTGTAGTCATGTGAAATAAAAAATTGCAATGAATCGGTTTATTTTTTACCACGTATTTTCTATTGTTCAGTGAGTCAAAGCTTTAGAAACACGTGCAATAAGAAACTTTCCCTAAGGACTTGTAAAACTGTGCTGCTTCTCCTGGAATCTGACCTTTCGTGTATTCGTYGGAGCAACTCTAACAAATGGTCTGTTTTCCAGGACGTTTGCTCAGAACTGCAGAAACATCGAGGTGCTGAACCTGAACGGCTGCACCAAGATCACAGACAGCACCTGCCTCAGCCTCAGCAAGTTCTGCTCCAAGCTCAAACAGTTAGATCTCACTTCCTGCGTGTCAATTAGCAACCACTCCCTCAAGGCCCTCAGGTACTGTAATTACTGTCGCCTCTTAATTACAAGCATGTGCTTCCTCAAGTCCTCATGCTTGTAACTATTTAACAAAACCTTTGCATTTACCTCATGTCTCCTTTTCTTTCCTTTTTTTTATCTTCATGAAACGTGGGTCCCTGCTTAGTGATGGCTGCAGAATGCTGGAGATGTTGAACCTGTCTTGGTGTGATCAGATCACACGGGACGGCATCGAGGCCTTAGCCAGAGGCTGCGCTGGTTTACGAGCACTTTTCCTCAGAGGTTGCACACAGGTAAACACACCTGGAGATATTATTATTATTATTATTATTATTATTATTATTATTATTATTATTATTATTATTATTATTATTATTATTATTATGACTGTATTTCCCCTGGATTATTGGCCTTGGGAGGGCGGGGCTTTTGAGCACAGAATAGTGAGGGCAGCAGAAACATTACTAATATTTATTAAAAGAGTGAAGCTTTTTTTTAATAAAATGTACAAAACTTTAAAAAGTTTGCAATTTAATTAACATTACATGAATCTTGTATATCTCTCTCACTTAAACATCTAAAATGTCTTCATAAAACAATTTCAGATATCTGGAATGTAAGTGTGGTGAAGCTGATTAAATGTAAAAACTGCCTGCCATACCTGTGAGCATTCTGCTGAAAATGATCTGTTGYGCTCTCAGATCAGAAGCCGACTGATAAATTAGCAGGATGAACTTGGAGCAAGCAAACGTCCACATTGGTTTTTTTTTTATCTCCGCAATTAACAAGAAAAAAAAGTTTTTCCTCCTCTGACTCCCTTATTACTTCTGTATTTTTCTCAATATTTGCCTTTTATTAACAAATATTTTTCCCATAGAAAAACATTTAGATTTCTTAGATTCCTTTGAAAACATTTTTTTTTAAATCTGCTGTGTTCTACTTAAAATGTCTTTTGCTTCTTTTAGCAAACTCTAAAATGATGCAAAGCCCCTGTAAATTAACCCCCTTTTAGCTTGTAACCAGAGTTCTACTTCTTTAAATGTTTAACAACTCTGTTTCCTCTTCTTTAGAAATGATTTGCAATGTTATTCAGCACTCACTATTCACAATGTGGAACTAGTTGTTAAAACAACACACTTTGAAGAACTGCACACTTCTTTTTCTGCCTTTTTCCCACTTTTTGTTGTGTCTTATCCTGTAGTTCTTTTAGTATTTTACTTAATAGCATTTTTATTTCCCACATAATTAAATATATAAAAATAGTAGTCCTGAAGCCAGGATTTTCTTGTGATGATTTTATTTTCCGACCCAAATCCAGTTTGTTTGTTTTTCTCAGCACAACTAACCATGAATCGGCTTAACGGAGCTCACAGGAATATTTCCCACGTTTTAWATAATCTTATGCCTTAATTAAAAACCTGTTTTCTGTCCCTGGCAGCTGGACGATGGAGCTCTGAAACACCTACAGAAGCACTGCCCTGAACTCACCACCATCAACATGCAGTCTTGCACAGTGAGTGATCATTATAGCATGAGGAGTGTGTTTGTGTGCTCTTGTCATTTGTTGTTGTTGTTGTTTTTTTTTTTTTGTGCGTTTCTCGTGCCACCAGCAAATAACAGATGAAGGCCTGGTCAGTCTGTGCCGGGGATGCCACAAGCTGCAGATCATCTGCGTGTCCGGCTGCAGCAACATCACCGATGCCTCGCTCACGGCTCTGGGTCTCAACTGTCCTCGGCTCAAGTAAGAAGCACGCCTGTCCGAGCATCCCTCACAAGGAAAACAGATACTTTGAGTGAAATATTCTCATTATTGTACACACATTTAAATGTTGTTGCTTCAGTGGTTTTCCACCTTTTTTAATTTTAATTTTTGTTTGTGTTCCAAGAATCCTCGAAGCTGCACGATGCTCTCATGTTACAGACGCTGGGTTCACAGTACTCGCCAGGGTGAGTTTCATCCAGCTTCCTGTTTCCTGTGAGGCTAACTCATCCCTTTCACTTYGCTGTGTTTCTGAGCTGAATTGGATGCTCTTGTCACAAAACTCTCTTGTTTATCCTCGCAGAATTGCCATGAACTTGAAAAAATGGACTTGGAAGAATGTATTTTGGTAAGCAAATCTGGGATCTTCTTGTTGACGTAAATTCCAGATGAGTCTGGTTTTGCGGCTTTTATCTGTTTGAAAGGAGGTCAGATTGTGGGAAGAAGGCAGACGTGATTGTGTTGATAAGACTGCTCTTCCTGTTAGAAGTGGGAGTTAGTAATCCACTTATGTAGCGTTTGAATCAGAAGATGAGAAGGTTGGGTTTAGAACATTGTCATGCAACACATTACTCCACGTTGAGAACTAAGCCTCTCAGCTGTCCCAAGTCATGTGAGGACGAGTCACTAATCGAGGGCTGTCTCCTCCTCAGGTGACAGATAACACCTTGGTTCAGCTGTCGATCCACTGCCCGCGGCTGCAAGCACTGGTAAGCGCCTGGAAGCCTCTGAGTTTGTGCTGCTCGGTTTTCCAGCGTCTCCAGTAAGTYTCTCTGTTCCGACCAGTCCCTGTCTCACTGCGAGCTGATCACAGACGACGGCATCAGAGCTCTGAGCAGCAGCGCCTGTGGCCAAGAGCGCCTCACGGTGGTGGAGCTGGACAACTGCCCTCTGATCACCGACGTGACCCTCGAGCACCTGAAGAACTGCCACCGTCTGGAGCGCATCGAGCTCTACGATTGTCAGCAGGTCACCAGGGCTGGCATCAAACGCATCAGGGTAAGGGACGGGTAAAAAAAAATGACACGGAGGGCTTTTATTTTGAAACTAACTTGAACACCAGTCCATCTAATTCAGTGAGTTTATATAATGTCACTTTGTTTTCACAGATATTTTGTGCTAAAGCAACATTTTGTGATTTTTTTAAAGCARCACAAGAAAATAAAAATACAGTACATRAGAGTCAATCAAGATAGATGTTCCCTATTATTTTTTTTTCAGAATCTTGAGTTTGTTTATTTTATACAGGTGTATTAATGCAGCTCTTTCTTACACAGGCGCAGCTTCCAGAGATCAAGGTGCATGCCTACTTCGCCCCAGTAACGCCCCCTCCCTCCGTACACGGAGGCGGCCAGCGTCTGTGCCGCTGCTGCATCATCCTCTGACAGTGGAGGGCCAGGGGGGGGCACCTCTGTYTACAGGTCCTGCTGCTCTGATCTGGCCTGATTTAAAATTGGGGAAGAAAAAAAAAAGATTTTGGAGGAGAGAGGAGATTGGGTGGGTGGCGTAGGAGAGAGGAGGGGCTGGACCCGCTTGCTGCTCCTGATCACCAGATTTAATATCCAGACTGAATGCCGCTGATTCCCGATCAGCTCAAACCACCTTTTCTCTCTCTTYCTGCTCACCAACCAGCTGCGGAGASGTTTTGAGGAAAGAGATGAATGAATGGACTTTTTCTTTTTCTCTCTGTCTTGTTCTCTTTTTCCTTTAAAGACAAAACCAGGCTCTCTCCACTCCATGCTGCCCCACGCACCCCTGACACCCCACCTTTGGGCGTGAAGGACCGAAAACTTGACCGCTGCAGATAGACCATGTGATCAAACAAACAAACAAACAAAAAAATATATATGATCATTTTGGAAAACAGGACTCTATGGAGCATCATCTCAGCCAATCACCGCATCTCTCTGTGACCATCCAATCTGCTTTAACCAATAGACACGGAGCTGGGCTGTGAGGGAAATGAACGCAGATCTCCAGTGAAGCCTTGTCACAGCCAGCTGAACTCTGCAGTTTGACGAGAAAAAAAACAAAACAGGATATGTAACATATTTGTTCATCTGAAAAAAAGAACTACTTCTGTTCAGATTTTGATTCTGTTTGKACAGAGAATGTTATATAAACCCTTAGAACCACTCGTTCAAAGCTCAAATAAGGCCAACAAAAACAGGTTTCTTATTTTCAGTGCGTATTGTAATTGTCCATGCCTGTCTATTCAGAGGGAGGCATATGCTTGTCTTTTTTTATGTAAAGGAAAAACAGTCGTCGTTTCACAAAAAAAAAAGGACCTATGATTCAGACCTCGAGGGTCAAACAGGATTCTGTTGGCACTAAATGTGGGAGGCCCTGATCCAGTCCTGTCAGTTGCCCCGTGAGCTATCTCCTACATGACCACTTAGCCTTTGTTTACATTTGACGTTAGGTTAGCACCGCAGACTAACCTGTTTACATCAGTAGGTTTCCAGCCCCCTGCACTGTTCAGAGTTAGTCTGGATAGGTTGTTACACTGATACAAATGGGGCATAGCCATAAACAGACTGAGATGTCAGTTACTGAGATTTATTTCTGTGAATCTGGATGTCGATCAAGGCTTGTGTAATTGCTTCAAACGTGAAAAGCAGATCTCCACAGATCTAAGCTATTGGGATACTGAGACTGCGAGTAAAGGCACCTCAAGTATTTGACAATCACATAATTTTATGTATTTAAAGTTTATTTAGAATAGATATGTGTAATTGTCAATTTACTTATGCTGTAAGAGATTATGAATTGGCCTCTGTTTTCCCAGTCCTTCAGACTCTGAGCAGCACAGGAATATTTATTTGTGAATAGATTTCACACATCTTATGAAATCTGCTCGTCATATCAGTTGAATTTTGACACAAACCGCTTCTTGTCAGTACAGAACATTCGAGAACAGGGAGAGTGATATGTAGTGACTGTAGAGCCCTAGAATCAAGTCTATTTTGCTCAAAACTCTTTGAAGGATTGTAATATTTATCTCACCAAGATGACATGTTGAAAGATGTTCCCTTTATTGCCACCTCTTAAAAGAGTTTAAAAGGACAACCTTGCATCTTGAGGTATTATTGTAGTGCCAAGTGCTTAGGAGTTAGGAGAATGGCAGGACAATGGATAAGACTGAAACAAAAACCAATGAAATGAGATTGTAAAGATCAAGAAAGGCTCAGATGATGGCTTGACTTGACTGGTTGTGAAACTAATGTCCCCTGTTTGATGGACATTTAACAGTTTTATGTTTAAGAAAATAAAGAAATAAATGAAAAATAAAGATGACTAATAGTAAACGTGCCTTGTGTCTATGTTGAAATTTTATCATTTGTTTCTGATGGGCATATTTTACAGTATACTGCGGCAGTTCAGCATCTAGATGTCACCAAAGCGCCGTGTTAGTTTAACAGACACACCCACACAAACAGTTCGTGTTTTCTTAGTAAAATAAACATACCTAATTACGATTATTGTCAAAAACAACTTATAATATTATTTATGTTTAGCTTTCAAGTTCGTTGTGGATACTTATATTTTATTTTTCATCAGGCATTAGATTGGCCAACTGTGCGGTTCACCGCCGGTATACTGCAGTCCAAGATGTTGTGCCGAAAACAGCACCCATGCCATTAAAAGCACTTCCGTTAAAAGCGCGTTGATTTTCACGAATAAAAATCAGAAGTGTCCAATCGACTTTAATTTTTCAGAATTTTAAAGACACAAACAACTAAAAAAATATATATTGCAACATTGTTTCTGTCAACGAAAGTCACAACCACAAAAATCACACTGTCATTAAGTACCTAAAACACTTAATGTTTTGAGAAATTTTCAGGGGATTCAAATCCTAGCTATATATCAGATAACTGTGGATATTTATTTTTTTACATGTGTAGTAAACACAGATTTGTACGTAGCCTTTAGACTTTTTATAGTTATTAATGAAAAACTACGTTTCACGCGCTTTTCACGAAGCGGTGTTTTTCACGGCGTGGGGGTACTTTTTACGGCACAACATCAGTTCGTCAACGCATATCGGCGGCTCTCAGCGTTTTAAGTTGTAGGTGTGATTATTACTGGATTAAAGTGAACCCGTTACCGGGGAACTGGAGCTGCAGTCTTGTTTTGATAGTTTGACGCGACTTCCCTTTGGACTGAAGCCTGGGTCATGAAGTTAAAGTACGGAGCGGAACCAGGCGGTRAACAGGCCTGTGGATAATCATCAACGTTAGCAGGCTACGTTAGCCGATGTGGAGCTATTTGTATGGGTCGCTGTGCTAACTAGCCAGATGCTATTGTTAGCATAACAGATAGTGGAATAAGGCTGCTAGCTTGTTTTAATGCGGATATACTGACCGAGCCTGCAGGGGTCAACTACAGTTACACGTTTCCTGAAGTTTCGTCGAGTTTTGAGTTAAACTTCAAGTGGGCTACGGGTAGTTTGTCGCAACGCTCTAAATCGGTCRTTTGATTTTGAGGGAGTGATACTTGGAAGTAAGTTGTGTTAGGGGTTGTATCTTGATGATCAAAGCTCAGTTAAACCCAGTTCAAACCAAGCGCTCTCTCCACTCCCTAACCGGACTACAATTCACATTTGTTGAGTCTCCCAACACCCACGTCCCGCGGATCTTTGCCTCTAATCTCTGGCCGGCTTCAGTGGCGGGCCACACGGCACTGAGTGCCCGATGGAGGAGCATGACAACATGGACTATTTTTACCAGCAGGTACTGCAGAAAGACGTTACTCGCAGACTGCAGGTCGGCCAGGACCTGATTGAATACCTGAACGACCCGCAGCGCTCCCCGGACGTGGAGCAGGACAAACCTCGGCTGGACAAAACCGTCGACGAGTTAACGGGATGGGTGAACTCCAGCAATTTCAAGGTGAGGAATAATGACCAGGATGAGGGGGGTTTCTTATGATTTCCGTTTGCACACATTTTCTCACCAAATCTAGAAATAAGTGGAAAGCATTGTTTGTGAGAGCCCAGTTGTTTAATCCTGTWTGGACATTTTTAAAGATCTTCACTCATCAAGTACTTTTGTTGGGTATTCCCATGGTTTCTGTTGTATTTTTGGAGACCCATTGTCAGCTGTGGACCACTGGCTGGACTGGTTGGGGGAAGGGTTAGAAGACACATTGTTGTGATCCTTCATATCTTCCTCTTTCATTTTCTCTTAACTACTATTTTTATTCTGACCTTTAACACTTTTCTATTCAGTCTCCTTTCTCTTGTGAAGTAGATTTAGCAGGGCTCTTTACCATATCATGCTACAAAACCTGGACGATAATATTTTTGGTCAAACAAGTCCTGTCTAAAATCAGTGTTMAAGCCTGAAATTTGACTCACAAGTTTCATCTTGAACTAATCTCTGTCTGCATGAATATGTTGGGCTCAGCAGCAGTGGAAATAGTATGCTCAGCATAATAAAGCTGCCTCAGCCTTTTGAAGTATCTCATTTGACAGCAGTCCTAGGCCAAAGATGATTTCTCATCACTCTCTGTTTTAAACATGATGTAATCCTTGGGGATTTATTTTCAGTCACAAGAAGTTCTTGTATTTCTGCCTTAAACCCTCATTAAATCACATTTGTTTTCCCTAATAAAGGAYGATTGAAATTATATACTGAAATCATGGCTTAACACAACTGTTCAGGTATCAAATTTATCTGAACCTTCTCCAACTTCGAAGTTACAGCTTTTGATTATAAAAAACAGCAAAGCTGTATCCTAAATCTAAGATTATTGCAACATATGCTAAAAACTAAAATGAGCCAAACCTTACTGAAACCTAAACATCAAAATAATAGTTAAAACCTAAACTTAGTAGACTTGTAGAAAAACACTAGCACACCTATAACAAAAAGCTAAACTCGGCACACGGGTATCTAAAAGCTAAAACGAACAAAACAGCAGCTAAAAACTAAAATCATGAACTACAAGCTAAAATTGAAAAAGCAAAACCTAAAAGCTTAATTTAACTAACATTTAAAAGGTCCATTTATTTCAATAAAAGTGTTAGTTATTTTAAAAAAGTATGACGGTTCAAAATAACAAATGCCGTATCACCCGCATTCTGTATCAGCTGAATGTTTTGGTAGTTGCTGAAGGTACGTTGAAGTATTTAGATGCCAAAAGAATATACAGAATAAACTGCACGCTGTTTTTAATTCTTATAAATATACTGAATATTAGGGCTGCCACAAACGATTATTTTAATAATCGATTAATCACCGATTATTTATTCGATTAGTCGACTAATCGGATCATACGTTAATTGAAAATAAAACATACAGCTTATCACATCAGAATGCAGCTGCTATTGTATAACCATGGTTAGATTTTAGCTATATGCTAACTAAAAATAATTGCTGTGGAAGGCAAGTTCTGCTCTGCAGATATTGCACAGGTTTCTCTTTCATTTTCTTAAAATGATCCCACACTTTTGAGCTCCGTTGCTGGGTAGCCATGATACCAGAGCCTGTCTGTATAATGTSTTGTGACGTCCACGGCCTACCCCAGTTAACACTACTGTGCATGTGTGTCAAGGACAGAAAGGCAGATGTGGCAGTGGAAGGTGTCAAAGCAGTTTGGAGAGAAAAACAAAGTAAAGGACAACAACAAAAAAATAAAACGATTAATCGATTATTAAATTAGTCATCGATTATTTTAATAATCGATTAGTCGTCGATTAATCGTGGCAGCCCTACTGAATATCTCCATATCCTTCATCCTAAGTTTGAATGTGATGTTTTATGTGGATGTCACATCACATGCAGTCATGTGTGAATATTGACCCCGTGAGGTCTTCATACTACAAGCTTTTATTGCTGCTGATTGACTTCCTGTTTAAATAAACCAAAGGCTTGAGGAGCTTCAAGGTGCTGAGGTGGCAAGGTGAGATGACAAAGAAAAAGTGTTGACTTGAGAAGGCAGGATAAATGAGCTCTGAAGTCAAATTTGTGTGGAAAAATAAAAAGCACAACTAACATTGTTTAAAGTAAAACAGTAATCACATGTTGTGTTTCATGAACTCTAATAAAGTCGGACATTTTCATATCTTTTTGTTTTTATTTTGAAAGTAATGACTGCTTACCAGACAAGCACTTACTTTGGTATTGGCTTGTTGTGAGAACACTTCCTGCAGGTGCTTCTTAGGAAAAACCTTACAGCAAAGAAAATTCAATGCAGCTTTGTGGGAAGCAGCTGCATGAACTGTTGGTCTTTAGTCATTAATGCCTGCTAGTCTCTGGGTAGTTGGTTCAGACAATGGTCTCAGTCTGCATTTGGGTACTTTTATTTATTTATAGTCTGTGTATTTGTGTTTAGGAATAAAGCTTTGTGTGTTTATTGTATTTGGGGCTTAAAATCCTTGAGTATAAAAATAGAAATGTAGTGTTGTTGTTGGCATCATTCTGTGAAATGTAGATAATCATCCTTAACTAATTTGTGTCTCCATCAAGTTATGAAAGTTTTGGTCATTTTTCTTCTTGTCTAAAACTCAGTTTAACTAAGAGAGAAATTCACAGTGAGCTTTATTTTACACCGATATGAGACTCAAGCAAAAAACTGAGCTTTCACAAAAAACTTATTCATATAGAGGTGACTTTTCCAGCATGTCTGAGCTGCTGTAACATTTTAAAGCTTACAGGCCAGAATGAAGTGATTTATAAGAAAAYATTTGAAGGAGAGGGTGACGGCGTCATTTAATATTCAGTGTTAGTTTTGTGGAGGATAGCCAAGTTCTCATTTTTGTCCTTCTCTCATTTTCCACTCAGTTATTAATTTTTTTTGCAGTAAACAGTGTGAAGAGCAAAAAAAAATCTCATCCTCAAATCCTGATAACAACCACAGTCGTCTCCGTTCTCTGTTTCTAAGTGAAGATTATACCAGATGGTTGTGGGTGCTTCTCGGGGTGCTGGGTGGAGGAAGGGAAGGAAAAAGCCTGGGGATGTTTCCATCATTTGCTGTTTTTTTCTTCTTCTGCTTCATTTCCTTTTAAATTAGATTATCTTTCTGAGCAGCGACTGATGGCGACCACAAGGGAGTCTCCAAAATGTCTTGTTGTCGCCTTAATTTCGAACACGTTCAAAAATTTGCCAGTTTTCTTGCTGTTTTCTTACAATTTCGAGTCATCATCCAGTCTGCTACAGTTGCAGCCTGGTGATATATTAGCTTTTAGTGCGAGGGAGTCCTCAGTTTGATTCCTGTTTCTTCTCCAGGTGATTTTTGTTTTCTGGTACTTGGCTTCTATCCCTGCTGTTTCCTCATCTCTCCTCCCCTTTTCTTCTTATTGTAGTCTCCTGGCTTTGCTCTTTTGACTAAAATAGGGAAAAACTGCAGTCTTCATTGCAGGACAGCGTGTAGGAGAAAAAAAAAATCTGTGCGTGGATTTTCTTTGGGAATTTTTATTTATTATTTTTTTTACAAGATCGCAGCCAAAGAAAGCATTCCTTGCTTGCAGCAGCGCTGTGTGGGGATGTGATGTTAATCAGAGACGCAGTGGAAAAAAAACTTCACTTCTAGGCACAAATACCTGTCTGCTCAACAGATATTTGGTTTCCCTCAAGCTAAATTTTATTTTCAGACTTGTGAGATTTGCAATGCTTGCCTAAAATATCGTTGGCAAACACGCTAACGTTTCAAAGTGTCACTTCAGCATTTTACTCCACAAGTTGTTACAGTAAAGGATTTAAAACGCAAATGAACAAACAGCTGCTGTCCCCCAGTAAAACATTTTATTTATGTTTAAATATTTTTTTGTTAATACTCACGTTTTTTATTTGGATTTGAAGATTTCAGTATTTGCTTGGCGTCTTTTTTTATGTTGCACACTTTAAAAACCTCAAAACATGTTGATTCCTATCATCTTTTTGGGAACTCAGACATGTTAATCACAAATATTCTTCACTGAGTCAGGAGAACTCAGGACACAACTTGAATCAGCTTTTTAAAAATCTATTCAGGAGGGTGAAACGTTTGTAGAAACATAAATAAGCACAAGAACAGTTCATATAAAACGTTTGACCTGTGATAACCGCAGTCTTCCTTTTACTTTTAGGTGGCATTGTTAGGGATAGACATCTGTGGTGCGTTTGTGGACCGCCTGGGAGACCGGTTCAAAGGATACCTTGGCACAGGTGAGACTTCCTGTCTGTTATGCTCTATTTGGAGTGAAAACCTATTCAGTTTTCTTTTTTTGTCTGTATGCAAAGACCATAAAATGATTTTTCTTCCTTACTTATTGTATTTTCAGAACTAAAACCAACTTTCTTCACAGTCTCCTCTGTGCTACAAAGACGTATAAATCCAGCACGAACTTGTCGTTGACTTTGTCGCCTTTTTATACACAGATGTTTGTCAAGTTCAGACATATTTAATTTGCTATCTTGGCATAAAGACTTGATTGAACCGTAAAAATGTCCTGCCCTTTTCACAGTAAAGTACTTAACAAACTGACGTAGAAACTCACAAAAACAAATCCACCTTTTCCCCTTAACACTGCAATAACGGTTGTAAGAAGCTCAACTTTTCATCGTTTGTGTGTTTGTTTTTCCATTTTGTCTCTCACTTCCACCTTTGTTGTACGTCTGGGATGAACAGGCTCCGCCCCCTTTTCTGTTCTCCATCATTACCACTTCTCTATACTTAGACCCTGGTGTAGGTCACCCCGTTGCACCCCAAAACCACAGCTTGTGTAAATGACCTTACAGACTGAATCCACGCATCAGATTTCGTGTGTGTGTGTGTGTGTGTGTGTGTGTGTGTGTGTGTGTGTGTGTG